AACAGACTTAGCTCTAGGAAGGGTCGGGAGCCTTATTTTGTCTAAGTATGAGGTCAAGTCCTCTGAGGTATATGCAACTTGAGATTTATATAGCGGACACTAAAACTTGACAGCTGTTTCTGGACACACTAGGTCCCTTACTCTACAAACCATTTTATGTTCACAGCAATGTGTTTTATATTGCACTTACTACTAAACTGACATTGCATGCTATTTGTATTCAAACAATGCAAATGGTGGAGAAACAGCATTTAATCTCCAGCTATTTCTTGCAACCTGAAGTAAGGGGATGGGGTAAGAGATCAGCAAGCCGTAGGCTCCTGGAAAGGGCGCATTTGTTTTCTTTCCTTCCAGTGCCCTGTGTGTCATTTCACATTATGTAAATTCCAGGATGGCTGCAGCCGAGCAGAATGCAAATTGGTAATAGAAAATGCTAAAATAAACCACTGGAAGACAGAATATCTGCAGACATTTGCAAAGGATCCACTTTGACCTCTGTTTTATCTCTGCACTGTTTTGCATTACTTTGCTGTCCTTCTCAGTTGTAGTGCGTGCTGATTTTACTGGCTCACTAATAAAACTAGTGATGGATTTAAAGTGATGCTTTCTGTTCCCCCAGCATGTAATCATAGTAGTGCCTTTATAATCTGCTCCATCAGCTGTTTTTCAAAAGGCATTCCTTCCTTTCCAAATATATACAGCCTAAACACCCTAAACAACTATGCAATTGATATGCAACAACAAAATGTAACTGATTAGTCAACAGTTAAACTTTTTTGCTTGTAATCATTTAAAGGACTTTGCTGGCTAATCTAAAACAGTCCAATTCAATAGGATTTAGAGAATCGCAGTAGAACAGTAAAAACTTTTAGCATATGTGTGCTGCATTTGGTTGGGCTAACTCAACAAAACACACCAAAAAAGGTACATGCACTATTTGTAGCAACACTGTGCACCACAATGCACAATATGTTTGCTGGTGTGCTTCAATACCATTCATGAATGGCACCCCAAAGCACCCGTGTTGCAGCACACCAGAATGCACAGGAAAGCACTACTGTATGTTATGGTTTGCTGTTTTGCTGAATGTAGTGCATTCCCTGTTTAGGTGTGTTAATCAGCCCATTCAAATACATGGACTGCCTTAACACAATGCAAGTCAACGCATGGAATAACACATTGAATGCAGCTCAGTCGTGTAAATGGTTATGATAGAGCGGTTAATGGTTATTATTATTATTATACAGGATTTATATAGCGCCAACAGTTTGCTCAGCACTTTACAATATAACGGGAGACAATACAGCAACAATACAGTTCAATACAAGAGGGAAAGGAGGGCCATGCTCCTTGGAGCTTACAATCTAGGAGCGGTTAGAACTTCTGTCTGTTTTTTTTCTGCTGTGTTCACATTGGTAATATTTCACTTCACTGCCTGTCTTCCATTAGAGAAAAAGAAAGCCAAAAAAGACTGGCCAAGGTTCTACACTTTCCCTATTCTACTAAAAAAAAGTTTGTTTTTGTAAGAAAAATGCTGCCCCTTTAAAGGCTTGGAAGTGCTACTCCTTTAATGAGCTCAACCGCTTTCTCAGCTGTCAATATTTCAGTGTAGTCCTCTTTTGGGGGGGTTGTGAGAAATGACCCTCCACAAAAACAGAATAGTGCTCTAAACCTGTTGGTAAATAAGAGAATCAAAATCTTCACTCTAGGAGGATGCAGAACCCCTAACCTCTGTCTGGACAGCGCTGATTGGCCCTGTGCTGATCACATGCACTCTCCCAAGAAAAAAAAACAACTCTCTAGCAATACACACCAAACTGAGCATATGCAGAGTGTCTCCACACAATATGTCTTATCAGGAGATATGAGAGGGGACACTGGAAGAAGGGGAGGATCAGAGAAGTCAGGATCAAGCAGCGTTTTTGAACAGTGCAGACTATTAACCCCTTAGGTTCCACAGTGAGTACAACAAGCATGCTTTACTGCATATACAGACTGATTGTACTGTTGTGGGTTTAGTAACACTTTAACTAAAATAAGGGGAGCTGCATATAAACTCTATTGCAATAAACAGGTTCACCTACTTATATACTGCAAGGTGACCACAACATACACACAGTAGCACACACCTAGCTATCTGGAACTGTGCATGTGAGATAATAACAATAGGACAGAGATAAGTCTGTCACAAGGATTTAGAGATACACTCAGTAATCTATGGGCAGCTGCAGTTAAACTGTTAGAACAACTTTTTATTAAACTAGATGGTCTTTTTTCAACCAGACTAACTATGTAACTATGTAAGAACATAGAAATACTTGCATAATAGTCTCTGTTTCTTGTCTGGGTGAAAATACAGCAGCAGTAGCAGCCCTCATGTGTATAAGGCCATGTGGCTCAGTTTTCTGTTTATTTTCACTTCCTCCTTCTGGGGTTTTTGAGCCAGGAAGCGCTAACACATATTTATAAGTACTGTGATATTAGCAGTTAACTACTTGCCAACCGCAGATAGCCGAATGACGGCTACACTGCGGCCGGCCAGTTCTGGGAGGGCGACATATGATGTCCTCCCAGAACACGCTCCCCTGCACGCCTCTGGGGGCGCGCACCCAGCGATCTCTGTGATTGCTGTGTCCTACGGACACAGCTGATAACGTGATGTGGTAAAAGGCCAATCACAGCAGCCTTTTACCACGTGATCAGCCGTGTCCAATGACACGCTGATCACCGTTAAATGCAATTGCCGGTTCTTGGCTGCACTTTCCTCACGCTGTCAGAGTGTGAGGAAAGTACTGCCGAGAACCGGCAGTTGTCAGAGCAGGGATCAGCACTGATCGTCAGGGCACTGATGATCAGTGCCCTGATGATCGGTGCCCAGCAGTGCCACCCACCAGTTCCTCCCACTTGTGCCGAGCAGTGCGCCCTCCTGTGCCCACCAGTGCCACCTACCTGTGCCCACCAGTGCCACCCACCAGTGCTGCCAGTCAGTGGCCAGCGGTTGCGCCAGTCAGTGCCTAGCAGTGCTGCCAGTCAGTGCCCAGCAGTGATGCCAGTCAGTGGCGCCTATCCGTGACACCTCATTAGTGCCGCCTATCCGTGCCACCTCAGTGCTGCCTATCAGTTCCGCCTATTGGTGCCCATCAGTGCTGCCTCATCAATGCACATCAGTGAAGGAGAAAAATTACCTGTTTGAAAAATGTTATAATAGAAACAAAGAAACAATTTTTTTTTTCAAATTTTTTTGCACTTTTTTTGTTTATAGCACAAAAAGTAAAGTGCCCACGGGCAATTAAATACCACAAAAAGAAAGCTCTATTTGTGAGAAAAAAATGCTAAAAATTTCATATGGGTACAATGTTGCATGACCTCGCAATTGTCAATCAAAGTGCAACAGCGCTGAAAGCTGAAAATTGGCCTGGTACAGAAGGGGGAATAAGTGCCGGTAGGCAAGTGGTTAACATTAAAGGACAGCACATCCCTACACCACATTTGACCATCTACAATGGTGGGCAGTGGTGACAGATATGGGCAGTACAGGCGGGTGCTGCTCTGAAATGACTGACAACTGAAAATCTCACTGCAGCTAGCCTGACAGGGGAAAGTGCTACATTGGGTTCCTAGAAGGGAAAGAGTTTATTATACCTCCTGTGTGTTGCATAGCACTCATGTCTCATATCAAGGAATCAGCTCTTTAATGAGAAATGTTAACTGACAATTAGACATGTGCATGCCACATTTCGTTTAGTTTCAGATGCATTGAACGTTGAACCATTTTGTTTTTGGAATTTGTTTAGTATCTTCGGCATTCGCTTCGTTTATTCATTGGTTCGGGTGGATTAAAAAAAATTTTACTTTTTTTTTCCAGAAGATTGCTATATATTCGATATATATTATCGAATGAACCATATTTGAATCAGAAGGATTTTATATTTTCGGAAGCTAGTCCAACCCACCAAGAGAAATAGCATGAGCTGATTGGACAATATTGATCCATTCATTATCCTAATCCGAATTATTGAACAATTTTTTAGAAAATGTAATTCATTAGTTAAGTGGCTCAAACTACGATATCATCATGTAAAATTATCCGAATGAAACAAACAAAACAAATATATTCATTAATTTATTTGAAATTTTTTTTCCGGATTCGTTGATGTTTGTTACTATGCTCATTCGGAAATATGTATAACATCCAAATCTCTGAAAAATGAATTTTCATCCAAAAAAGAATCGTGACAAAACAAACCGCACATGTCTACTGACAAAGTATATACTGTAGCTAAGTTCTGTAAGATAACACCCTAAGCTCAAAGGCTGAGAACAGTGGTAAGATGGCTATACATGGATCAAAAATTTTGATCCATATATGGGCAGACTGGCTGTACACATATCAATCTATTGACCAGCCTATGAGGTTTTTCCTGAATTATTAGTGCTGCCAGCTATTTAGTCCAGTTATGTTGGCACAAATGTCCCTGTATTATTTTTATTGAGAATGCTATATGTACCAAAAGAGGAAGCAATAATGCAGACATGATCTATATTAACCACATGCCACCCAGCCACTGTAGAAATACGGCGGCAGAGCGGCACGGCTGGGCAAAACCACGTTTTAAAACGTGTGTTTTTAAAACAGGTAGGGGGTGCGCGTGAGGCGCACCGCCGCCCTACCTGTCCCGCCAATCACGGCCGTGGATGTAAGTCGTCGGGTCACAGCCGGTCGTTACCGGCTATGTCCCGGCGATTAGTGGCAATCAGTGACAGAGAGCACAGCTGCAGTAGCTGTGCTTTCTGTCAGTTCCCTGACAGCTCCAGGACACGCTGACCGGGACAGAAGAGTTTCTCTCTCCCGATCAGCGGTGTTCCCTGCAGTACACACCCCCGCCCCCCCTAGTAAAACACTCCCCTCACACAGTTAACCCTTTCACTGAATAATAAAGTTAACCCCTTCCTCCCCAGTGCCATTAGTACAGTGTCAGTGTTTTTTCTTTGCACTGATCACTGTATTGGTGTCACTGGGGATGTCAGTGACCCCAAGTCAGTTCCCCCCCAGTGTCAGAATGTCCGCCGCAGTCCCGTAGTCCTGCCATAATTCGCTGATCACCGCCATAAGTCACTGATTGCCGCCATAAGTCGCTGATCGCCGCCATTATTAGTATAAAAAAAAAATTAAAAATCCCAGTATCTTTCCCGCCATTTGTAAACGCTATAACTTTCACGTTAACCAATTAATTTACACGTATTGGGTTTTTTGTAGCAAAGACATGTCGCAGAATGCATTTTGGCAGAAACTTATGACTAAATTTGATTTTTACATTTTTTTTTGCTGGACATGTTTTATAGCAAAAAGTCCAAAATATAGTTTTTTTTCCTCAAAATTGTCAGCCTTTTTTTTATAGCGCAAAAAATTAAAACCGCACAGGTGATCAAATACCACTGAAAGAAAGCTCAATTTGTGGGAAAAAAAAAGGATGTAAATTTAATTTATGTACCGTATTGCATGACCGCGCAATTGTCCATTAAACTAGCGCAGCGCTGTTAAGCAAAAAAAAATGGCGTAAATTGCAGTATCTATACCATAGTTTGTAGACGCTATAACTTTCACAGAAAGCAATCAATATACACTTATTGGGATTTTTTTTACCAGAAACATGTAGCAGAATACATTTTGGGCTAAATTTATAACTTACTTTGAGTTTACTATATATTTTTTATAGCTGAAAGTAAAAAATATCTTTTTCTTCAAAATTTTGGGTCTTTTTTTGTTTATAGCGTGAAAAATAAAAAGTGCACAGGTGATCAAATACCACCAAAAGAAAGCTCTATTTGTGTGAAAAAAAAGGACGTAAATTTAGTTTGGAAGCAGCATTGCATGACCGCGCAATTATCAGTTGAATTAGTGCAGAGCCGAGTAGCAAAAAGAGGCCTGGTCATTAAGGGGGGTAAATCCTCAGGAGCTCAAGTGGTTAAAGCCCAACCTCAGTAAAACTAAGCTGCAAGGCTTAACTGCCCATTTCTGTCTAGGGGGAGGTAAAATCAAATTTACTTACCTGATTCTCCATTTCCCCAACAGACAACACAGCCCCATGTTGCAGTGGTGAACGTATCTTTCGATGTCCTTCGGTGTCCTCACATTTAATGCAAGCCTATGCACCCTGCGTCAATCAGAGGACCTTGGAATGCCCCAGTACAGGGAAGAAGAGGCTGCGAAAACTGGTCTAGCAGTGTGGAGGAGCTTGCAGGATCTTGCAGTGATGCTCATGGCCAGGTATGTAAAAAGTGCTTTTCCAAATCCCCCAGACATAAAGAAGCAGTTACCCCCTGCAGTGTGGGCACATTTAAACTGCAATGGAAGAGTTTCAGCTTCAAAACTGAACTCCAGACAGATAAAAAAAAAACCACATAAAAGGCCTCCTTCACAGGGCAGTTTAATCGCATACACCAGATTTTTGCGGCTGGAATGATAGGTGCATGTGAATAATAGTGGCCGCTGGAATCCGGTGTATGTGCTTAAATGGCTGTATGAAAGAGGCCTAAGTACTATTACTAATTCATTAAAAATTATAAAAAGCATAAATGCAAATATGTAATTACCAGAATTCATGTCAGCCTCTTGTAATCCCCTGTAGAGGAGGACTAAGAGCAATGGGGGCAACATTATGATGAGTCAATCAGGTGGACTGCATGCACAGTTGCTGACATGGAATCTGATGACTAGAGCATATAGCAGAGAGATGAACCCATCAGTTTACTGTTGCGGCTTCTTCACTGTCCAATCACAGGTTGGTTGCAGGAAGGTGACTAGGCTGTGCTGTATAAGTGTAGTTGAAAAAAAGTCAGGTCACCAACTTGACTGTGCTGTCTGGCAAACCTTTGTAAATCTCAGGACTACATGGACAGAAATACAGATCATTCTGCAGGGACACAGTTCAGATCAGAAGCATTTGCAACCCAGCCCCATGGGGGCCCATGCAGCTCCCGTCATATTTTGTTTTACACCTGAATAGGAGGGGCGGCGGGGGCAGCATATAGAGGAACCAATGCCCTCCATTTTTCTCTTGCAGCCACTGAAAGCTTGCTTCTCCTCCTCTCCCTCCTGCATCGGTTCCTCTATATGCCACCCATCCTATTCAAGTTCCTTGTTTCCTGCTGTACCCAGCACCTGCGTGCTCCCCTGACCCACTCTCCTCCCCCGCAGTGCTGCTGGCTTCCCCCTCCCCTCTTTCCCCGGCTGCTGCGGGGATGCTTTCAGGAAGGAGAGTGGGTGAAGGGCCCAGAAACTATGTAATTTACTGGCCCCCTTTTTTTTTTTGAACAGACACAGTGAGTGATCGGTACTGATTACGCCTGTGTCCGTTCACAACTGAGGCATAGTAAATTGTGGTGAAACATCAGAGGTCTGTTTACAGCAGACCTCTGATATGACTAAAGCCCCCAATGGGGCTCCTAAAAAGTTTGTAAAAAATAAATTGTAAAAAAAAAATATAAACAGAATGGTAAAAAATAATAATATACTGAAAAAGTCTACTGCCGTACTGACACCGTCCACTGCCCTACTGACCATGTCTACTACATTACTGACAAAGTCCACTGCCATACTGACCCTGTCCACTGCCCTAATGACAACGTCTACGGCCATATTGATACTGTCCACTGCCCTACTGACCACGTCCACTGAATTACTGACAAAGTCCATGGCTATACTGACATTGTCCAGTGCTCTACCAACCACATCCACTGCATTACTGACAAAGTCCATGGCTATACTTACATTGTCCACTGCCCTACCAACCACATCCACTGCATTACTGACAAAGTCCACTGCTATACTGATACCATCCACTACCCTACTGACCACATCCACTGCATTACTGACAAAGTCCACTGCTATACTGATACCATCTACTACCCTACTGACCACATCCACTGCATTACTGACAAAGTCCACTGCTATACTGATACCATCCACTGCCCTACTGACCACACCCACTGCATTGCTGACAAAGTCCACTGAGGTGCAGTATCTAAGGAAACATCTGGTCTTTCTAAGGGCCCCTGAATGTGGGGAGAGTTTTGTTGCCACTGGCCCTGCTTATTATAACATAGATGGATAAAATGGAGAAGTAGAACAAAACAAGGTTGTTTAAAGTCAGCCAACAATCAAATGAAGTGTTTTGATATTTGTAGAAAGCCTAGCAGAAGCCCCCAAGAAAGTTAAAATACTGCTCCCTAGGCACCACAACCTAGGAGTGCTCTGGCTGCACTCTATGTGCCCTGCAGAGTCAGGGATAGCATGGCAGCATTGTAAGGTAGAAGTAAATAAAGGAGCAGTTTAACAAGGGCTCTTCAGGATGTGCTGATGTCACTTCCAACAAAAGCTGCCCTGCATGGCTCAATTTTCAGTTCTTTCAGCATGCATCAGTTGAAATTCAAGCCATGGCTGTTCCAGACTGCAGCACCTGGCTCCAGAAAAGTTGATTGTTCAATAGACTTTTGTCGAAGGAGTCGGGTGGAAAATTGTCAGTTGAACAGCACCTGCACCCAATCAAATACAGGCACTGTTCGGGTATCCAACTGTCAGATTACATTAGCTGGCAGGAAAGTTTCATCCATTTGTGCTGTTTAGCATGAATAGCTGAACAAAAGAAGCTGATGGGTGTATGGCCAGCTAAAGTTCATAGGATAATGATTCAAATTCTGCAGCGTTAGCCAAAAGTTTGAGCCTATAAATGTAGGGGAACATTTTTTTTTTAATAGTAAACATTTATTGTACATTTTTAGTACCAGAGTGCTGAGTACACAAACAGTACAAGGCATTGAAGTGCATTACAGGAATTGGCCAATAAAATGTATATTTTTACAATTACTGAGGAAAGACTTCAACAACCATGTTAATATGACAAATAAAGTCCAAAGGAGACCCATGCTGTATATTGATCCCCACAGAAGACATTGGGTCAACCTCGGTATGCGTATGGGCATAAAAATTCAATTACCCTGTAAACTAGCAAAAAAGGAACCAGGTGGAAAGAAAGAGGAACCAGGTGGAAAGAAAGTACAGAACAATGAGGAGATATGCAAGCAGACAGCGGAAGGCAATAGGAAAGGATAGAGCAGGATGTGGTATAGCCTCTGAGAGAGATGATCCTTGAGTCCAATCCATGGGTTTGAGTGCTCATGTAATGGATCCAAGTACATGAAATGGTCAGGCTGTCAAAACCTGTATACACTGCAGGTGAGTGATTACTCAATGTTGTGGCTGCCCTAAGAAAGTCAGGCTGTCAATTCCTCCATATATTGCGGAAGGGTGATTTCCTTGATAGTAGGAGGATGGATAGATATTCAGTGTCTGGGTTTTACTGCTGTGGCTGCCATAAGAAAGAAACAAAGAAGGCCTTTCTTGCAGCTTGATATTGATCCTGGGATAGTGAGGAAGGCAATTTCTGATGTTCCAAGAGATGCAAAGGATTATCATTTGTATATAAAATGTAAAGATCTGCATCCAAATGGGCAAGATCAAAGGGCAGGAGCACCATGTGTGTAGCATAGTACCTTTCTCTGTCATGCAATGATAGCAGCAATCCAACAATGAAGGAAATATTTTGTGTAGGAGGGTAGGACACCCCCCCCCCACTCTCTTCACTCACAGAAGACTTGGCAGCAGCAGGAGCCATTGGCTCCTGCTAATCCTGTTAGGGGTTAGGGACAAGTCGCATTGCGTGTGCCTATAGACCAGTGGTTCTCAACCTTCCTACTTCTGTGACCCTTTAATACAGTTCCTCATGTTGTGGTGACCCCCCAACCATAAAATTATTTACCCATTAATTATAATTCATGAAGTGTCGTTTTACCTCCAATACTGTTGCTTTCAACACAGTAGCTGCTTTCTACACAGTAGCTGCTTTCAACACAGTAGCTGCTTTCTACACAGTAGCTGCTTTCAATACAGTAGCTGCTTTCTACACAGTAGCTGCTTTCTACAGAGTAGCTGCTCTTTACACATCGGAAATATGTGTTTTCCCGACGGTCTTAGGCGA